TTTATTAGCCAGAATTTCCTCCTTTTGATATACAAAATGTTCATATGCATTGTGACATGCAGGTTAGAATTGCAAGAGCTATTTTCAGAGTGTTCCACTCTGGCATATTTTGCTCTTAGAGGCAATAAATGCAAAAAGCAGCTAAAAGATATTTTTCTTTTATTTGAACAGTCTCTCAAAGAGAAGGTGGTGGATGTTGCTGCAGGACTGAGACATGCCCTTGCTGCTACAGGTAAATATGCCACAATTTTAATAACATTTCACTAATAGATGAAATGGAGTTTAGTGGCTTGGAGGGGGAGAGGGAGGGAAGGAAAATGAAATTTATTTTAAATATCACAGGGAAAATTCTCCTAAAAATCTTATACAAGGTTTTGGTACAAATTAACATGACTAATAAATCGGCTAGAAACATCTTTGTGGAAATTGATGGTGAAGAACTGTTTTCCAAAAAACTCAGAGTGAGAGTTTATTAACAAGTTAATTTTCTGATGGCTAGGAGACTTACTGATTTCTTTTATCCTATTTTGAAACAAACATAAAAGGAAGGTTTTTCTGGAAAAAATATTTCTGGTCAATCAAAATATCTTAGGATTTTCAATTCATTATAATATGCAAGATAATGGATTTAGGTTTGTATAAGATGTTTCAAAATGGAACTGCACGAGAAATGTGGCTTTTTTAGTGATGTAACTGAAATTGACATCTGGAAAAATCACAAGAATGAAGCTTTTCTTTTACGGGGGATGAGGGAAAGGATCTACTCGGAGTTAATTTCACTCAACGCACCTTTGAAAATCTGGTCCTCTGACTTCTTCTCTCACTGTCTGCTGTGTGTATGCTTGGAAGGGTCATAGTGTCTAAGTATTTCTCCTGCAGTGCTTAGAGACTCAGTTTGTTCACTGAATAATTGTAGAAATCAAAACATTTCAATTGGCATGGCTATGTTAAAATTGAGAAACAGCAAACTATATGTGCTGTTTTCTTTGGTTTAGTTTTGCATGAACTTTAGTATGGATCCCAGGTAGTGGAGTCTAGCTGAGGATACAAAGAAGATGCTTGGAAGAAGACTGGGACCTATGTGCTTGTATGAATATTGGGAGTTAAGCTTCCCTGAGCTCTTCCAAAGAAATAAGACTTTTTTTTTTTTTTTTTCCCCTCTTTCTCCTGTGTGGCTCTTCAGAACCGTGATTTTACCCGACGAGCAAAGGAGGGCTGAGAGCCGTCAGCCGGGTGTCGCTTGTCCTTGTTAGCTCGCTTTGCTCTGCGGGGCTCGCGGTGGGGAATAACCACCGGTCAGGGTAAATGAAGATGGGTGCGGCAGTCTTGGGGTACACGTGTGTGGCTCCCTGTGCCTCGGGCACCTGTTTTATTTTTGCACCTTATCTCAGCTTGCCTGCTATTGAAGACTTAGAAATTCATTGCAAGTTGTAGGCTAAAATGAGACCTTGTGAGGCGCCTTCTGAAAAGTATCACGGCTGATAAGTAGTAACGCACTCTAAAACTGTCCACCGCTAGTAGTGACTGTGAGAGAACAGCTTGATCTGCCTCTTGAGCTCGACCCCTGACACCTCACCCACCTGTTAACGGTGGGCTGAGGCGAGCAGCCTCATGCTTTTGTTTAAAATGTTGTTTCTGTAGGTACGAAACGTTTATTGCTAAATGTGTCCTTTTAAGATACACCAAGTGCTGCATCTTTGGGGGGTGGGTGCCAAAGGGAGAGTAGATGGGGGGGGCACAGATGAGGTAGGGCAGGTACCCCCTCGGAGTCACCAGTGATGCGATGTGTTTCTGTTACTGCAATGTGTGGATTAGGAAAGTTACTGAATCCCACTTTGTGCATGAAGGTTGCTGTTCAAGCTGTGGGACACTTAATAAAGTTTAAGAAATTCCTTGACATGTTACCCTGTTAGTGCTTGCTTTCTATGATTGGTTTAGTGGCTATAATCTTATAAATTTATAATAATTATAATAGGTATATTTTAATTTTGACCACTTTAAGTTAAAAGACCTAGTTAATGAGGGATAAGTGTTTCTGCTTTACTCATTTAGGTGCCAGAACAAGGTAGCATGTCTTTCTGATGTCATGTTGGAGGTGGACTACCAGAAAGCACTGGCATTAATAAGATCTTAGTGGTGAGTGGGAATCATTAGTATTAAAATTAGACAGGTGGTAATCATCCTGATCATGAGGCTTTCCTCCTTGGTAACTGTTAGTCTGCAGTTAAAGTCTTATCAGGATGTATTTCAGTATGTTCCTTAGAATACTGGGGTTGCACAGGCAGCCTTAATGACAGCAGATTTAGCACAGTCCTTGTCCAATTCTGGGGGTCCTGTGTGACAGCAGTAAGAATGAAGATTGCCATTTTGGGGGATTTTGGGGAACAAATCCTGGCAAGGTAACCTGTGACACGTCCCCAGTAAGCTTGTTCGCTGTTAGGCGCAGATTTGTGTCTTTTTTTTTTTTTTAACTTTAAAATAAAATATTTTTCTTTGTCTATTTGAAGGGTGCAAACAGCTATGGACAGCTTGGTCTTGGGCATAAAGAGGATGTGCTGGTACCTCAGTCACTGAAAGATGTTTCCTGCAAATGTCAAGACATTAAAAGCATTACTGGAGGAGGGGGACATTCTGCAGTTATCACTGGTAAAAACATTGCACTTGCAAGGAGTCTATGACTTCTAAACAATTTTTTTTTTCCTCCTGTTTCCCTGTTGATTTGGTGCTGCCACCTATCTGTGACTTCCGTTTCTGAGCAAGTACAATTCTTAGTTGCAAAACAACTGTGCCAGTTAATTCAGTATTTTGGGAAAACTGGGGAAATTCCCGTTTTGCTTATTTTGTGTGGTTATTTTACAGCTATGTGAGGACTGTTTCTTAACCTGTTTCATATAACAGCTTTTCATACACAGCAGCCAGTTTTTCTGTATTGAGGATAGGGGAGTGGGAGGAAGGAGTCAAGTGAGAGGTTGTTCAATCTTGAGAAGTTTTAAGGTAAGGAGCAGAAGCTAGTATTTAGTCTTTGAAAGGTTCTGCTGTATGCCATAGCTGATTATGGGAAAGAAAGGATACAGACAGATGTGAACGTGATAAAAAAGTTCATCTTGCGTCTTACCATATGGATTGTCTGCCTTGGCAAAGCCAACTCTTCATAGCTGTACTTATTCAGAAATGTTTCTGATGCATCAGAAATAACTGTTTCTTTTTGCTTAATTGCTGTGCCTAAAATGACACATAATTGCTATCCTTATTTGTCACAGGATCTGGTGGATATAAGCTTGTCTCTTTAGTCTGTGAAGTGGAATATGATTTATTTTTTTTTTTCTTTTTTTTCCCAGGTTCAGGAGAACTCTTTGTATGTGGCCATAACAAAGATGGGCAGTTGGGATTGAATCATGCAGAGGATGTACTGCATTTTACTTTGTGCACTGCCTTGTCTGGCTTTTGTGTAAAACAAGTTGCCTGTGGCTGGGATTTTACAATCATATTAATAGGTAAATCAGTCTCTAAGAGCCAAAGAAATATCTTGATCTAGAGAACGTGCTCAGAGTTTCATATTGCTATTGCTTGTGTGGTGCCCAGGCACTCACAGGTTTTAACTGCTTGCCTTGGAAAGTAAATTACTCCATGTTCCTTGTATCCCAGTGAACTTCAGACCTGTACTGAACATGGTGTGGAAGATGTGAAGTCTATGGGCTCAAGGGTTTTGGAATGGGACATGTTAGGTCCTGTTTTGAGCTGCTTGGCTGTGGTATTTTGCTTGTTAGAATGTTGCAGTGCTTTACTTTTGCTTGTGAATTTACTGATCAGGCTCTAACACTTTATTTTTCAGGATCTGGCCTAGTTCTATCCTGTGGGTCTAACTCTTTTGGACAATTAGGAGTTCCTCAAATTTCAGGTCCGTGCTTGATTCCACAAAAAATTGAGGTAAAGATTTAAAAGGAATTGTGCTTCATAGCTCTGTGCTTTATATTGCTTCCAGCAACTTTATAAAGATCATCTGACCTCAGTGGGCTTTAAGCCAGATTCTTCAACTATTTTTTATAGAGCCTGTTACAGCAAACTTACAAAGTAAAGAACCATTGACCCAGAAATGAGAACCTAAGGCTGCTTTTCTTGTGTGAAGAAGTTTCCCACTTCTAACAGAAAGCTGTCCCTTCCACTAGGGATTATAATATTTCATAATGTATTCTGATAACATCTGCAGAATGAGTCTGATGCTCAGAGGATGTGAAGTGATACTAAAGGTAGTGAAACTGTGCAAATTTACTCCAGCTGAAGTTTTACGTCAAGTTTGTAAAATACTAGATATGTAGTACTAGATTATTGGAGGTTTGTGATTAATAGTTCAAAGCAAAACTAAACAAACCAACAATAATCCACCCCTGAAAAAAAATAAATTGCATGTTGGAGTTCAACAGTTACCTATTCCAATTCTATTGGTCTGTTGCTCTTGTGGTTCTTGTGCAGTGGTGGTATGTGGTGGTTTTTTGAGTATAACAGTCAGAGTTTCTTCCCCCAATATGAGGATTGTAGTGTTATTGCTTGGCTGTAAAAAGAAGTATAGTCACCCCCAAAATTAGAGTAGTGCGAGAAAGTATGTAGCTGTGGGAAAACTAGACCTGAGAGAACAAACTTAAATTTTGTCACTTTTGAGATTAAAATATTGTTTACTTTTGCATGTAAAGGAACTAACAAGTACATTGACTTGCTTCTTATCTAACATCCAGTATTTACCAAACGATATCAGCTTCCAAGAAAATAGGACGGAAACATTAGGTAGTGGTTTCTCTGCTGTCCATTACCTTCAATTGTAGATGCTAAAGGCTGGATTCTGACTCCTGTTGTTCCTGTAAGTCATGTGGAAATCTGTGGTGATACTTGTAGGTGAGACACTGCTGAGTGTGAGTGGGGAGCTTGGAATAGCTCCAAATTAATTGCTTTAAAATGTTTTAACTACTATGTACTGAGACTTCTGTAACCTCAGAAAAGCTTTCCTGTTGTTGGCTATAAGCCTAACAGTTTAAATAAATTTCTCACAGGAATTCTAATTAGTCATTAATTTACACTGTCATTTCTTATTTGGAGAACACAAATGAAACTCTTTTCCATCCACACAACATCTCATGTCTATTGAAACTAGTAACTTCAGAGCAGGAAGGATTCTCAGGCAAGAAATTTAGCTTCATGGCTCATACCAGATACTCCTTTGCTTTTTTAATGTAGAAGGAGAGCTGACCCCTGAGGTAATCCCTGGTGTAAAGGGATTAACACTTGATGTTTCCTTGGAGCATCATTCCAGAATGGTGCCTTGAAAATTGTAGTATTTATAGTGCTGATCTGAATCTGTGTTCTCCCTGACCATGTAGACCATCCATTCATCTGGAATATTTTCTCTTTTGGTTTGTATCCTGTTAAATGCTTGGCTTGATGCCATCTATTTGAAATAGTGTTGCATCTGTGAGAAGAATAATAAATTTGCAGAGTACTCATAAGTGGAGAAGTGCCAGAATTTAAATACCTTCTGTAAGCTTACCTCATGGGTTTTATGGACACATGACTTGGTATAGTTATCTTTTGCATGATCATATGTGGCAATTTCAGAGGTGTAGGTGGTGCTATCAGTGGTATTGTTTGTGGTTGTAGGACTTCGCAAGACTGTACAGCTTTATGGAACTCATTGCTTCTTGTCGCTGGTATTTGCTGTGGAGTTTTTGTTGTAATTCTTGAGGACCACTGAATTATGTTTAATAAACATATTTGTATCACCAAGGTTCCTTCTTTCGTTTGAAGGTTTTGACTGTGGCTTTCTATTTATTGCCACAAAGCTGTACATACTGTCCCTTTGCTTGATTTTTTTTTTTTTTTTTTTAGAAGATGTTCCCACTAATTTTTATTAGCCAGAATTTCCTCCTTTTGATATACAAAATGTTCATATGCATTGTGACATGCAGGTTAGAATTGCAAGAGCTATTTTCAGAGTGTTCCACTCTGGCATATTTTGCTCTTAGAGGCAATAAATGCAAAAAGCAGCTAAAAGATATTTTTCTTTTATTTGAACAGTCTCTCAAAGAGAAGGTGGTGGATGTTGCTGCAGGACTGAGACATGCCCTTGCTGCTACAGGTAAATATGCCACAATTTTAATAACATTTCACTAATAGATGAAATGGAGTTTAGTGGCTTGGAGGGGGAGAGGGAGGGAAGGAAAATGAAATTTATTTTAAATATCACAGGGAAAATTCTCCTAAAAATCTTATACAAGGTTTTGGTACAAATTAACATGACTAATAAATCGGCTAGAAACATCTTTGTGGAAATTGATGGTGAAGAACTGTTTTCCAAAAAACTCAGAGTGAGAGTTTATTAACAAGTTAATTTTCTGATGGCTAGGAGACTTACTGATTTCTTTTATCCTATTTTGAAACAAACATAAAAGGAAGGTTTTTCTGGAAAAAATATTTCTGGTCAATCAAAATATCTTAGGATTTTCAATTCATTATAATATGCAAGATAATGGATTTAGGTTTGTATAAGATGTTTCAAAATGGAACTGCACGAGAAATGTGGCTTTTTTAGTGATGTAACTGAAATTGACATCTGGAAAAATCACAAGAATGAAGCTTTTCTTTTACGGGGGATGAGGGAAAGGATCTACTCGGAGTTAATTTCACTCAACGCACCTTTGAAAATCTGGTCCTCTGACTTCTTCTCTCACTGTCTGCTGTGTGTATGCTTGGAAGGGTCATAGTGTCTAAGTATTTCTCCTGCAGTGCTTAGAGACTCAGTTTGTTCACTGAATAATTGTAGAAATCAAAACATTTCAATTGGCATGGCTATGTTAAAATTGAGAAACAGCAAACTATATGTGCTGTTTTCTTTGGTTTAGTTTTGCATGAACTTTAGTATGGATCCCAGGTAGTGGAGTCTAGCTGAGGATACAAAGAAGATGCTTGGAAGAAGACTGGGACCTATGTGCTTGTATGAATATTGGGAGTTAAGCTTCCCTGAGCTCTGCACTCAGTGAACATCTTGATTCAGAGCTAGGTCAAGACTCTGAAAGCTCCTGAGAAGACAAGTGACTTCACTTCCTTGGTGTGCTGGACTGCACAAACAAATTAGCATGAAGAAAAGGAAAGGACAGAGAAAGTGCAGTGAACTTGCAGTAATAAATAAATTTTATCAATTTTTGGGGTGCTACAGCTATGGGACTTCTGTTACTGAGTCCTCGATAACATCCTAATATAGGCCTCAGAGCTGAGACACATTGCTTAGTATTTTTTTAGTTGTCTTGCCTGTATAATGAGGCTACAACTGTTTGTTGCTTGATGACTTCACAGAGTTACTCGTATGTTTTGGCATAAAGGTCTTTTAAAGTGTAATTTGAATTGGTGAAAATGAAGTGAATATAATTTTAAAACTAGTGAATGAGTTAAGTGGTTTTGGTGGTGGTTGATGCGTTTTAATCTCTTCTGTGTTTACCTTGGAAAGAGAGTGGTTTGGTGCTTCAGTGGGGAACTGGCATGGCATCTCGGGCAAAGCGTGCAAACCAAGGAAAAACCCTCCCCCTGTTCTTGACAGCAAAGGAACCCTGTGAAGTAACAGGTAATTCAGGAGTATGATTCTTTTGTAAAGGTGGATAAAGCAGAAATATAATTTGGAGTGATGTGTAGCATCCTCTTATTATAAAGTAGAAGCTTTTCTTATAAAATTCATCCTATTAAGTTTGTATGGGTGTCTATGCATGAAATGATACCTGCTGTACAAATTTTTCTCTAGGCCTGGAAGATGTAAAGGTGAAGACAGTTGCTGCAGGCTCCTATCATTCGGTGTCGCTCACAGGTAGGCCTTGGGTACAGAAATGAAAGTCCTTGTCTCGTACTATAAAGGTTTTTGTGCTTTGGAAATGTTTGTCAATTTTGGTTAGACTGGTAAAATTTGATCTGACTTAGTACTGGTTAATTGTTTTATAATAGTTTTGGATTCTAAGAACTTTACTTTTTTTAAGAGCTGGATTTATGTTTTGAATCATGTTCTCTGATTTCTGTGTGGTTTTCCTTGGGGTCAGGTGTGACAGCCCATAGGAGTAAGTGTGTGTAAGGGTCTGAGCTCTTTACTTAATGGTTAGAAACTCTGAAAGGATTTGTGGAAGCACATGGTTGGGTGAGTCTCTGGAGCTGCAGCGTGACAACCCAGTGGATAACTCTGGATGGTGTAGTGCTGGGACCAGTGCAACCCTTTGTCCATGTAGAATGGGGATGTTAGGTGATTGTCCCAAGAAAGTCTGCTGTGGCTGTCCTGCTTCTACGTGAGTTCATGCCTCTGCGTGGGGCTGTGCTGTGTGGGGGCATGAGATGGTCTGGAGCATCTTAGGTAGTTCTAATAAAACAGCGTGCAGATCTGTGTGAGGTAATGTAGGAGCACAAGGCTTATTTAAAGCAGTAGGAAGTTGCTCTAATCGCTTGGGCATTTCCATAGTGTCTGCCATTTGTTTTTTTGATCTTTAGGGAGTGCTCCTATGCTGGAGTATTAAGTATCCAGTAATGAAAGTCTAATAAAGACTTTTTCTGGGGGTGGGGGAAGAAGGGGAAACATAATTGCTTTTCACGCTGAAATCTTACAGTTTTGAAGTGTGGAAAATATATTGAACCTTATGAAGACAAGTCTTTGCCAAACTTGATAGGAACAAGTTCTTAGCAAATACGCAGCCATCTGGTACCTCTGTCATCATTAAAGGAGCACTGAAGTATTTGCTTATGCAGATCTACAGAGATGTAGTTGTATGGGGAGAAGTTCCAAGATGTAAATTGTATTGAATTCTGACATGCAAAGTGTATGTGCGATTAGTGAAGAACAGCTGTAAGGACAAATAGAACCTACTTTAGCTAATTAGCACTCTATTTAGAGTGAACAGATTATTCTTTTATGCTTTTGTTTTTTATTTAAGAGAGCAGTCTATTTGGCAGCAGAGGGACCAAAGTGCCCAAAGACTTCAGTAACGTGATGCTATTTGCTGCCCTTCATCCTTCAAGATACTTGTTATTACTTTAAATACTTTGTATTTTAAAGATACTTGATATAGTAAAGATACAACTGTATGATGTAGCGTTTAAAAGGGGATTTTTTTTCTTAGGATTCTCACACTGATGCAGTTTCCTCTGGCTCTGGTTCATGAGCCACCTGCTGGTAGGATACCAAACACCTGCAGCCAGGCAGGTTTTTGACAACTGTTGAAGTGGGTTGTTGTAAACGTGCATGGTGGTTCCTCTAAAAAAAGGATGATAGTCTGCCTGTATCCAAACTGGTCTCAAACCTCCAGCATGGGAATATGGTGCTGAGTCTTAGTGTCTAAGTTTTTATTAAACCCTACACAAGAAATGAGATGAGGGTAAGAGCATATGGCACTTCCCAGGATAAAGCAAGCACACCTTCTGGAGAAGGAAAGGAGGTGACAGGCAGTGCATATTAGTTGTGGAAATGTGAATGACCATAATGTTGTTTTTTGCTGAAACGAGTTGCTTTTGTCACCTCTTTTTCTCTCCAGAAGGTGAGTGTGTTTCACTCTGGGAAGGAATTTATCAATTTTAGTGGAGAATTTGAATGAAATAATTGCTTATTTTTCCTTTTAATTTCAATTGTGTTGTTTTAATGAGAAATGTGGGAAGTCCTGCACATGCCTGTCAGTAATGTGTAACTTGACAAGTATTGGCTTCCCCCCCCATCCCCCCTTCTCCCCTATTTTTCACCAGCAGTGGTATAGTGAAATTCCTGGCTTATTCTTTCTGTTACCATTACCAAACTGAGATCATGAAATATATTGTTGCTCAAGTCCAACTTTTGGGTTTGTTTTTTTTTTTTTTTCCCCTCTGAAAGATTTACTTGTCATGCTGCTTGCAAAGAGTTCAGTGCTGGCCTGAGACTTCCTGAAGTCTTGAGTGTTGTGCAGGTGTGCTCTGAACAATACCATGTTGGAAACCATATGGCTTTCAGTCTTTCTGGGCTCATGATCATGTACTTCACATGTTTCTTACGCTTGCAGCTTGTATGGAGTGACAGAGGACATCAGGAGGCCTGACACAGCTCATGTTTTATTAAGTGTTTCTTGTGGATTATGTTTTTTTAACATGGAGACCTAGATTTACCTGAACAGTCATCTTTTTATGTCAGTTGGTTTTTAGTCTGTGAGCAACTCTAACTTGCACCAGTGAAACATAGGAAGCAGTGTGGATGTTTCTGTAAATATAATTATCTATGTGGGTGAAATCCTGGAGTGAGCACTTGCACAAATGCTTATTCTAGAAAAGGGGTTGGGAAGACAAGTGACTACTTACAGAAGTTTCTTGCTAATGGTCTAGCATGGTTTTGAGGCGTGATAATATTTTGATTTTTGCCTTGTGGTGGGTGATACCTGCTTTAGTTGTATGTTCATAGCTGCAGGTCCAATTCCTTTAGGAAGTGACTGTGCAAGGTGAGACAAGGAATATTAGTCTGTCCTTGCTTTTGGGGGATTTCCTGAATTTGCTGAAGCTGAAGAAGGCAGCAGAGCTAGGAGTCTATAGCTCTGTTAGAGAGGCTGGGAGACTGTAACACAGAGCAGGAGCAGCCAGCCAGGCTTTGAAGAGTCCCAGGTATAGTATTTGCTGCAATTCAGAAACTTATTTACTGCGCTGAATCAAAGGTTTGGAGAGGAGGTAAAAGCTGGCCTGCAAGAACAGAGTGGACTGAGAGGGACTGCTCAGTGAGTGCCATCAAGATGCTTTTTTTTTTTTTTTTATTGGAGGAGTTGACTACTGTGGTTAGTTTTCTAATAAAAATTAGCCTTTGCTATAAACATCTTTCAGTCTTCTTTGAGAGGCTCACAGTAGAATTAAGGTCTAGGCAGTTTGACCTGAAAGGTCTGGTTGTTTCAGGGAGTCAGTGTGGCCCTCAGAAAACAGGCTGTGTTGTTAAGGCAGATATTTCACATATTCTAGTTACAGTGTGCACACATGTGGTAAAGAATGGTAGGAAAAAGCATACAGTAAAAACACAAATTAAATGAAACATTGTTCTTTCCTCACCGTCACTGAGTTGAGACGGAACCTGTATCTGGTGGTGTTCTATGTCTGTCACTTTCAACAAATTTTACTTCTCTGTCTATTGTAGATGAAGGACACCTCTATGTCTGGGGTAGCAACAAACATGGGCAGCTAGCGAGCAAAGAAATCTTTCTTGCTGAGCCCAAGAAGATTGAGACTCAGTTTTTCTCATGTGAAAAGGTTGGAGCGGTTTGGTGTGGCTGGACACACTTGGTGGCACGAACAGGTAGGATATCTAAAAAGCAGTAGCATATAGCATGAAAAAAGTATATTGCCTTTGTTGCATGCAGTGTTCTTTCTCATGGATACTGGTTGGATGCAGAGTTTTGCAGTTTCATCTGAGCAGTGGCTGTCTCTTAAAAATGATGAGGATAGACATCCTTTGACTTCTGTCCCTGAAGTGTTACTGCACTCATAGGTCAAGGGGCATATCATCTTCCTAAATGCAGTAGCACCTGCAGGTGCATGCTAGAGGGATGCAGCCTCTGCGTCATCAGGTTACTGGTGTACCAGAATATATGTATGAGCTTCTAAAGATCATTGTCCTGGGTGAGTTCTGACATCTTTGGAAAGAAGTGGGTGGAAAACTTGCTTCAGAAAATAGAGAGGTAGGAGATATGGCTGCAGCTTCCAAGATATTTAACTATATTTGGCAGGAAGATAGGGACAAAACTCTCATTCGGGGCACGGGAATTAGGGAAAGGGGAAGAAAGGAGTGGGGACAGAGATGTGTGCTCTTCCTAGGTTACCTGAGTGTTAGCTGAGGATCTTAAGAACAAGCATAGCCAAGAACCCTCTGCTTATGCCATCCCGTCTGAGAAGACATGGTCTTGTTGCAGTAAGTGAAATAGATTACATGGCTCTGCACACTGTACTAACCTTTCTGTGCTTGAAGAGTGAGCCTAGCTTTTTTGTTCTGCTCTTCTGTAATGAAATGTTCTAAGGGCAAATAAAAATCACGTGTTCAGAAGAAAGTCAATAAATTAAAATAAGATGATTTGTATGTGTTTGTGGTCAAACCCAGAAAATATTTAGAAAAGGCAGATAAAGAAAGGGCATCATTAGACTTGAAGAGCATCCCTTGAAGATGAAGTGAAAGAAGATTTAATGTTGAAGCTGTACCTTCCTGGGAACCTTTCCAGTGAGGACAGTGAAAGCTTGCCACATGCCAAAGGCTGTAGGGTTAGATTCTTTCCTAGGAAGAGATAAGAGGAAGGTTACATAGTAATGAGATTCGTGTGTAAAAGGATGGTTAATCTGATGAAGGTCATCTGAATGCATTTGTATTGTTGCCCTGCTGTGAAATGCAGAGGCAGGAGAGAAAGACGGGTGAGATGGAAAGGTAAGACAGGCATCTGAAACTGTTTTGTGGTGTTCGGATGTGAACAGTCTGTGCTATTTGCTTCTTCTGTGGCACAGTGTGGTGTAATAGTTAAGACTAACAAGAGGATGAAAGTCTTCCATAGAGCAGACAGAACAGCCAGAGTTACATTAGCAGGAGTAGCATATGTGCATTTCTGCTTTTGCCTTGTTTAAACTGCCAGGTGAGGAAATGAAGAGCAGATGAAAGCATTTTTCCTCGGGTCACATTGGAGACGGATGAGCCCGTTGATCTCTCAGGATACAGCCTCTTTGTTAGGAAAACTGCAGAAGGGGCCACAGATCTGTTACAGATATTTTCTGGGTTCTGTAATTATGTGTACTGGTTCAAGGACTGCTTAGCCTTCAGCATGGGTAGTTTTATTTAAATGGAGTTCTTATGTGCCCAAAGGGCAGCATGTGCTTAAGTGTTCTATTAACTGTAGATCCTGAAATAGTTACACTGTAATGTCCCTTGCTCTGTGAGAAAAGTGTCTGTTTTAATTACCATATACTGTGAACTCTTGATACTAGAATCTGGAGGGATATGATGCATGACTAGAAAAACAAATTGGTTAAGTGTTCTGTTTCATAGCATTCGTTGTTTGACATCGAAGTACGTGAGAGAAATGTCATATAAAAAACCTGCATTACTCTAGCTGCTCTCTTAGCTATTTAAAAGAAATGTTCAAACTCTGATTTTTAGAGGATGCTATACGGAAAATTTCAGAACTGTAATCAACGCTATGTACTGTTTGGAAACTTTTCAGATGAAGTAAAAGAATTTATCTCAAAAAAAAAAAAAAAGAATAAAGTGCTTAATGTCATTCTCACTGGAACAGAAATAGTAGAAAAAAGACATTAGTCAGGATAACCTAATTTTTAGAGTTTTGTCAACATGGATTGCCTTGCTTTGCTATTAGTGCATACCCACTAAGTAAAACTTCCCAAAAGTTTTAGTAACATTAATGTTTCATTTAGTTGATACTTATCCATGGCCATTACAGAAATTAGGTGGATTTTAGTAGGCTGTCTTTAAGAAGAAAAAAAAAGTGTGTTGAGTGACTAGCAGGGATTTTTTTTGGTGAATGTTTGAAAGGAATTTAAATAAAAATAGGTTGACTTTTTACATCTGCATTAGAAAACTAGCCAAGTGATGCTGTGGCAAAAGTTATTGCTGAAACAGATTTTTATGTATTTAGAATTTTAAATCTCTTCAAAAGTCAATGGACCTGAACCTAGATCATCCAGAATAAGATTTTTGAATGGCCTTTGGCAGCCTCTAGATACCAATCAGAATCTCCTGGGATTTTCAAGGATTGCTCAACTGCTAGACATAGTGTGAGCTAAGCACTTAACTGTTTTTTGAAAATCACTCACTGCCTGTGATGAAACTTGCAGCTAAGTTACCGAAAAATGCAGCTCACTTTAAAACTTTTTCCTGCACGTAGTTCTTTATTATTTTTACCTCATTCTTGCAAAGGAGGAAATGCTTCTTCAGTTTCCTGATGCTGAAGTCACATAAACCAGTGGTCTCCAAACTTTATTTATTGTGCACCCCTATCAATAAATCTTTTTTTGAGCGTGGACCCCCACCCCAAGATATTTATACTTATTTATAAATTGTAGATGTGTACTACTGTAAAATGTTATGCAAACTATAAAACATGGACAATAGAAATTTTTAAAAGGATGAAACAAAGATAAAATAAAGACTACTTAAAATATTAAGTAAATTAAAACAATATTTAATTAATAGATTTAAGATATTAATTTATTTATTATTTTCTTCCTGCCTGCTCATGGATTGTCTTGTGCATCCTCTGGGCTGCGTGCCCTCCACTTTGGAGATAACTGATATAAACAGTTCCTGCTCGCTTTACTCTGGAGAGTTCCACTGTCAGTGGAACAGAAACAAAACAGTGATTTTTGGATGCAGGAAAGTGGAAGGAAGTGATACTGTAGCTTGATGCTTCTATTCGTTCATTATGGAAGGTAGAAGATACTTTGGGAAGACGTTGCAGTGTATAGGGGTTATGCTGCATGAAAGAAGGGAAAAGTTTTTTTCTAATGAATAGTCTCACCAAGATGCAAAATGTAATAGTTTAACATTTACGTTACTGTATCTGAAGTCCAGTGTTGTGTTTTCCACAGAGGATAGTGGAATTTAAGAGGCCATTACAAATACTTAAGAGTTCTGTTTGGACTTTTTTTCCCAGAACGTTAATCCTAGTCAGAATAGTAATAATAAAAGATTCATAATTGCAGCTGTCTTGACAGTAAATTAAAACTTTTCTCATTGGAAAGACACAGGAAGAGCTGGATGGATAACAGCTGGACACTGTTCATGCATAAATTCACAAATTCTGCCATTTCAAAATGACATTTTGATCTTTATCTGTCAGATGAGCAGTACTTGACTTGCAGAACTAATGGAACACTGAAAAGTAAAAGAGACAGTGATGTTAAAAGCAACCATCTGGAGGAATAGGCAGTTTCATGGATGCAGTGGTTTGACACTTTTAAAGTGAGTTCAAGCATGTTACCAACTTTGTTATCAGAAAACAAGGAACACAGCATAAATATTTTCTGTATTAAGCTTTCCTCTTATGTAAACTAGCCTGTTTTAAAAGGCTTTTTTCTCCTTCATGCTGTTGACAAAATTTTGCATTGTAGCCTGTAGCAGAACACAAATTTTTCTCATTTCTTTCCCACTCTGTCCTTACAAGGTACTTTAATTGCACCTCAAATCACTTTAATACCTGCATCTTTTTCATATGCTATATTCTACCTCCTTCAGTAACTGCTTTGAAAGTCTTCTTTCTTGGAATTTCTCTTCAGAGTTTGGTCAACTCTGTTTTCATTTGATGTTGTTTCTATCATAAAGCGGTTCAGATACAAGAAGTTAATTCCTGAGAAATTGCTTGTCTTAAAGACGTTAAGGTATGTTTTCATATGATGTTGTGTGTTTCATCCTCATCAGCTTCAATTTTTTATTCTTTTTAATCATAGAGGTGTCTTTTGGACTATTTCCATTGTAGACAGTCTTACTGTAAAATAACTCAAAATCCTTCAGGACAACTATTTTTTTTTTCCTGCCTTGATTACCAATTCCTACAGAGGAGAGAAACACAGTTAGGCTTTGTGGCACCACCAGTACTCTTTCAAAATAAATTATGTTATTCTGCTAGTAGCGATGGTCCTAGCTGCTGATGGTTGGTCCAGAAGGATTAAGGTTGAGACACCCTGCTTGCTTTTGGATCGGGTCTCTGATGATAAGATATGAACTTGTTAGTGTCTTTGGTTTAGTTGTTATTTTCTACATGAATACTTGTCTCAAGTGACTTTCAGGCATGCTTTTTATGACGGGCAGTACTGCTATTGTTCTATGTGAAGGATAGACAAGACGCATTCTTCTGACCTCAGACTTCAAGTGCATGTATTATTCTCTTCAAACAGCTGCTTTGTAAAATGGTTTGCTTCCTTTCCAGCACTTTGCTTAATGGCACAAGGAGCACCACTGCAGTATAGGTGATATTAGTTTTGAATAATAACGAGCAGCTGTCTTGCATCGCTCTGCTTAACAGTGTCAACTTTAATTTGTGGTCCTTCTGAAGTTGATACAAACCATTTGAGGGTAACTGCTGAAAGAGAGGTTATTGCTTAGATCATTTAAAAGAGAGCTAAATTGTGGCCTATAACACTGAAGATGTAAATTAGACTACTTTGGGAAATGATAGAACCGATCTGACTTAAGGCAAACCTAAATATAGCAAGAGAAGTCTTTTAAAGACTTAGAGGTGAATCACCAACTTCAATTGAAACCAAGTTATTTTCTTTCTAACTGGGATGCTTAATAAATAAGCT